AACAACAGCACAATCTTCGGCTGGAAGGGACACAACTCATTTTAGGTCCCAATCCGAAATCTATATATTGCATTCATTGTTGCTCAGATCTTTGGGTTGGGCTCTATTTATCCAAGAGAAAAATCGTGAGTTCAAGATGTCAAAGGTTTGGCGTGGAAAACATCCTGCCCTCATTCACTCATCAGTCTTAAATTGGGTCCATGGGCGGAGGCGACAAATAAATGTGTCCAATATGCACTCAAATTGGCCCAAAGTTTCACATCACATGAGTGTGAAACAAGATTATATAAAAACAAGATTTCTCCTTATAGCATATTTCTTGCTAGCTATCTTTCCACCAACTTCTGTAACAACATTACGTTATAGTAACACCCCATAATTTAACTCACCAGCAGAGCACGTGCTACTGATATATAATGGGAATATAAGATAAACAAAATTCTGTGGTCTTTTTAGGAAATTATTTCTTTCAATAATAATCTAAGAAACACTTATTTCCCCGTCCAACGATGATGAACGTGACTTGAGAATATGATCGAATCACCATATAAATTAATTTAAATGTAGAAACACACATTATACTTTTTAAGTGAGGGCTAAATTCATACTCCTTTATCATGAATCCAAACCTTCACGTTAGATGAAGGGGGTGTAATTTAGCTATACAATTACGACACCTTAAAGTTGCACAAAGTTTTTCCTACTCTTTTTCCCCTTCTTCCTGAATCTCGAGTCCTTGACCAAGCCTACCAGTCTACCTGGCATCTATAGTCTAGATATTATAATCCAACAAGACAAGAAGAAGATAAAGACGCAAAAAATGGAAGGCTGGAATCAAGCCTTCTGCGACGCCCATTGTCAAAACTAAAACTCAAAAGAAAACAACAATTGACAATTCGGCACGTAGGCGGAATGGAAAATTGTACTATCTTGCGCCCAATAAAAGGCCTATTGCTGTTGGTGTTAGGGAGGAGCCATAGGAAGCAATAATGTTGCTGCTTAACCACCCACCATCCTGCTGATGAAACAAGAAACCCAGTCGTAGTAGCTGTTTGTTGTTGTTGCTGCAGCAGAAATGAGCCAGCGACCCTAAAAGCTTCGGCTGCCAAGTTGTTTTCTATCTGCCAAAACAAGAAACAAGAAAAGGCTGCAAAGCTTGTTGAGAGTGCCCAAGTAATGTGCCAATGGAATGAATCAGAGAGGTCCCAGACTACAGATGCTACTAGCCCAAGTTATGGTGATCTTTTGTTTACATAATGGAGAAGTGGGTCACATATGAGATTCCCATTATTTCTTCAGATTAGAAAACCAGATAGCTCTTCCATTTCAAATTAGATACAGCAGCACATCAACCTCACACCCGCACATGACAACAGAAGTCATCATCCTATTGACATTGTAGCACTCGTAACAAATTATGACGGTACTGCCCCTAAAGGTGAAAGAAAAAAAAAATTTGAATACTTAGAATGCAACCACACAGAGAGGGGGACGGAGGCAATAATGAATCATAGCATTGCCGTCCAAACTAGCTAAGCCCTGTCATTTCAAATGATTCCAGGAAAGGAATTGTTGGCTCTCAGCATTTGTGGTACTGGATGTACGGTACATTTTTGTGCAGAGGTCGAGTTAATGTTGTAATAACGGCACACCTAAGCAACACGAAAAATTAGACACACAATTATTATTAACCTCGTCAGTACTGGTATAACCGACCTTGATCACTTCTTCAATGAAAACGGGAGTAAAGATTACATCTTGCCCTATGTCTCTAGGATGATCTAGATTCTAGACAATTACATGCTCTGTTTGCGCTTGCGAATTGATAGTTGCAGCACATTCTTTCGATCGCTACTCAAAATATTCTTCCGAGTAAGAATCCCTGTTGTATAATTGCTCTTTTGAGAATTCTGAAGACCTTGCAAGCCTACCGACAACAGCATTCCTGAAACTCAAAACTTCTTGGACTTGAGAGCATGACCTCTGCATTCGGACCCCACTTAGACTACTTCTGGACTCCATCATTTCATTGAGCGATAGCCTCCTCTTGGACCCCGGTTCAGGCCTTTGCTTCGGTGCGCTGTAAGACCTCAGTTTGGCCTTAAATGACTGCGTATTAGCCATATAATTTGGGCAATTCCTGAATAAGCTTTCCACGCAAACACTCTTGGCTGGCGTGACAGGTGGATTTGTCCCACAAGAATTGGAGAATCTGGGAGTGCTTTGAGGGGTGGAGAAGCGGCATTCGTCCCCAGTCAGTCCCCAGTCGGAGTCTTGAGAGTTTCTGCAATCAGGGATCGATAGGTGGGGCGGAGGATGTCGGCATTGACACGAAGAGGATAGAGTCTGGGCATCCCCGGAAATGGAATCTGATACCCAGGCGCTGCTTCTTCTGGATCTTGATTTAGGCCTTCCAGTATCTATCTCCACAATCTTTGGGATTTCATCGATTGCATTTGAGTTAATGCTATCAAACGATGCAGAGAGCCTTCTGTTATGAAATGAATTCTGCCTACTTCTACCCTCATCAAACTTTTCCTGCTAATTAACCAAGATGGACACAAATTAAATTAAGATGTAATTCCTTGCAAAAATAGATGCACAGAGACAAGTTCTTACCGCCGAATTTGCAGCATGAAACTGCCGGTTTGAACTTGCAGCAGTAGAATCGAGGAGGCCTCGAGTTTTTTGGGCACGAACATTGGCCTGTGCTCTTATAAGAGCTTGCATGCTGTGAAATGTAGCGAACGCCTGTTTACGCACCAAATAACCTCTCACTAGTGCTTGTAGTTTCACAAGTCCTTTCAAAGCCCTCAGTGCCTTCCTTGCCTGATTAATTCACACCATACCCGTTTAGCAATTTCCATTTTTCTAGTAAGAACGAACCAAAATTAATGCATATAATGGTAAAAGGGACAGCCAAAAAAAAAAAAGAAAGAAGACAAGGAAACGGATGTGACTACGATACTGAGAAACCGTGTCTGTCAGTCAAATATACGTTATACACCTTCGAAGCAAAAGTAGTAGTAGTAGTAATTAATTACCAAGAATCCGCGGAAAACACTTTGAATTTTTGTAACGGCCCACTTTTCACGACTACCACCACCACCACCAAACATGGACCCTCCTCTGCCCTGACTGGTGAGCCTAACCACGGCCACCGCAGCCTGTGCAGCGGCGACGGCGGCGTCAGCGGCAGCGGCGGTGGCTGCAGCAACTGCTATGGCATGCTTGCTTTGCTCCTTGTCACCAGAGTCAGCGTAAAAAGATCTCAACCATGCAGCTTCAGCCGGGGTAATATTGGGTGGAATGGTGTTTGGATTTGAACACAGCCCATCAGCAGTGTCTCTTCCCGAATGGCCCATTCCCGTCCATTTGTTTTCTCTCTGGCTACCGGAATTTGGATTAATCTCCTTCTGGCCCTTATCCCTCTTTATCCCAAACAAACTCTTCAACCACCTTGTTGCTCTGCCCATTTTCTTGAAAATGTGGCTTAGCTTGTCAAGCCTTCAAAAGAATTAAGTCTGGAGAAACCTTAGGCCTGAAGTTGTAACTGAAAATAGCACCATCTTCGCAGCTCATTATCTGGGATGATAATTTTCAAAGAGAAAAAGGTAAGGAAAAACGCTCTAAAGAAGATGGTGGGGGAGAAAAGGGGGGCCTAGGCTTCTGAGAAGTTACTACTGCTACTTTAGAGATGGGGTTAAGAAGGCACATGTGATGATGTGAAGGAAGGAGAGATTAAGGGAACTTGAAAACGGGGTGTCAAAAGCTAAGGGACTATAATTTGAGAATTTACAGCTAAAAAGCTGGTGTGCTTCCTTTTTTGTGAAAGTTGTCCAACAGTAACATCTCTAAATCGTGCATACGAACGTGGAAAATGAAAGGGAAATTTGGAAGGAAGTCAGTTGATTTATAATCAAAATTCTTGGTTACAAAGACAAGAGGGAAATCTCTAATTCTTGGTTAACTGCTGCCATTCTTTTACTGTTTTTTTTTTTTTTTTTTTTTGCCCTGGCTGAGAAAATCTTGTACTAGACGAAATTCCGAGGTTGAAAAAATGTGAGCTTGGAGCCTTGAACTCTTTCATGTATCATAAAATTTGTTTGTTCAATGCTCGTATCATGTTACACAAGCCGATCCCCTCTGCATATACATTGATCTATGATTCTAAACTAAAACTTGTAAGTGTCGTAGACAAGACAATAATCTTTTCATGGGTATTAGGTAACAAATATTTTCAAGCAAAAAATTAAAGTGGAACCTAAGATTAATTTGTCCGTTGTTTCATTACAGGCTAATGTAGTCCAAATTAACGAAGCTGAGCTAGCTCTTCCCTTGCTTTTCACCATACTAATCAAGCTTGGGAAATAAAGTAAAGATGGTAGAGTTTGTTGTAGCCTATGCTTAAGAATATATTGTTGTAATGGACAAGCATTATTAATTAGTTATTAGTAGAACATTGACCAATTACTAGAAATGGAAAATATCCACACAGGATCCCCCAGAAAACTACGTAGAAGAAGCATAGCAGACAAGAAGGTGCGGCTGAGGATTGCGTATGTATGTATGTATGTAGACACGCAAACCCAAAAGACAAGACCAATCCTTAACTTTAAAATCTAGTCACTTAAAATAAGATATTCGAATGACTATAAAGTTTTAGTATAAAAAGCATACAAGTAATGTACATAGCCAATAGTGTATACAAAAGTAGTAACTAACAAAGATATACATATATATATGTATATACTAAAAAAAAAGGGCGGAGGGAGGAAGGGGCCTCGAATTTTGATTCGTCCAACTTGGGGCTCTTTTCTGAAAAGATGTAAAAATGGAAAAAGAGAAAAGCAAAAGGTGAAGAAAAAAGATTACTTTGTGGAGCGACGTGTCCTTAAAGAAGGAATTGAAGAAAGAAAGAGAGAGAGATGCAATGCAACAACGTACGTAAGATAGAATAGAATAGAATTGATGCCTGAGACCTGAGGCTTGGAATGGAAGGCGTTACTATTCATTAGAGCGCGTCCAAAGTCCCTCCACAACCAACCAGAAGCAGACCAGACCCAGAGTCCATCTCCTTCCTCAGCACAGCACAGCAGGCATCTCTGACAATCTCGTGACCGCTTACGCACATATGCAAATCTCTTAGGAATCCAAGCTTTCCTTCTTTGCAAAATCCCTGCTTCAGTCAACCATATTCTCTCCTCTTCGTCTCTCTTTTCATCGATCGGTGGTAATCTTCTTCAGTCGTCAACTTGTTCCATTCACTTCACTTTGGCAAAATTCTGCAATTTCATCGCTTCGTTCTCGAGTTGTTATATATATGAACAGAGACTTAAATAGTGCAAGGGAATTTTATGGGGAAAACCGGGGGGGGGAAGGAAGCAGATTACCCACTACCAGATTTCGAAATTCGAATTCTCCTGTGCACTCCGTAATATATAATTGTATGATTAATTGGTGAAGTGCTGAAAAGTCAAGAATTTTGCACCTAACACTACTCTCTTTTTTCTTTCCAACTGTTCTATCTATACGCCATAGATGTAGTAGTAGCATAACAGTTTGCAAAAAGATATTCTTTGTCATTTTTAGTGCTTGCAAAAATCACCCATTATCATTTATTTTCTTGAAGAAGAAAAAGCAAACAACAGCAGTCTGATTTTCACCACCAGTCAAGTTTTCTAGCATTAGCATCCCTCGGCGTTTAGTGCAAGGAGCACGGATGATGGATAGTAGTACATCGAGATCGCTTTCCCCTCTAGTGCAGAAATGGTACTAGCACAGTATATACTGAGCTTGAGTACGTACGATGCACTGAAGGCTTCAAAGCCTACGGGTAGATGACAATAATAATAATAGTAGTATTGCTGGCTCCTGTCCTGTACCAATTAACGAGGAGGATGAAGTATTAAAATTCGCTTTGTGTCATCATTTGTTCGTATCCATTAGATAACTTGTGTTTTAATTCTCTTCTCTCTGTCGCCTGAGATAATGACCCATGACTGTTGTAACTTTGTCTCTCGTTTATCTTTGGGTAGATGCAGTGCTTTCGGAGCAGTAGTATTTTGACGGTACCACAAGAGCTTGGAGGCTCCTGTCGCTGTTCAAGAATCAGATGATGCCAAAAACTCTGAAAAAATATCGTCCTCTCGACTGTTACTTGCCTATTTGCCCGGGCTTTTGTTGCACAATTATTTGCCCAAGTCGAATCCAAAATATGAATATGGCATTATGGTGGGTGGGTGACCACTTGCCTGCACTCACAGATTTTTTATTTATTTTTTTGGGGTGTTGAGACTTGAGATTGATCATTCATCGTTGATCAACTACTACATCACATGAGAACTAAAACATGATGTTTATATAGAAGAAATAACAATAAAATAAAAAATGGGACAGAGAGTGGCACAGAGTGTGGGACACAAGATCCGTTGTGCATGAATTCCGGTTTCTATCTTTAACCTGAATGAGTGTGTTTAGTTTTTGATATTTGGCCTAATTAATCAGTAATCACGCATTCAAAACAAAGCAATACACTTTGAGTAACTTACTGCGACTTACGCAAAAAAGGGCAAAAAAAATTTTTTTTTATTGCTGGTAAGGCCTATGAAAAAAGGTTAGGACTAGGAGTTGGTAGTTTCAAGTTTGGTTCTCAAGACCAAATGATAAAAGTGATTATTGAACCTTCTTTATTTTGGTCATTAAACTTTTTTTTATTTAGCCAAAGTAGTTTATTTAACTATTTAAAGCATGCATTTTGCGACCGATAAGCACGCATTTTCTTTACATGAGTGACGAAAAAATGCACTTTTGTTAGTTTAGTAATCCAAAATGTACTTATTTACTCATTAGTTTAGTGACCATTTTGGGTAAATAAAAAGTTTGGTGACTAAAATATACAATTAAAAATAGCTTGGTGACTGTTTACGACGTTTGCTCTTCCCCCCCTTTTTTTTCCCCTTAGATAGAGTTAAGTTTTTATCATGAATTAACAAGATCTTGGCATGCAAAAAAAAAAAATTTTTTCGAAGGAGATATAGGGAGGCAAGTAATAAATACATTGTGTTGTTTGGTGCCATTCGGCTTCTTATACCTTTGGGCTTCTCTCTAGTCCTAAGGACCCCGAGTTTGGCAAAACTTAAAAGGCCGACTTTACTTCTGCAATGGTGCTGCTTTGATCGTTCACGAGGCACGGCCCATTTAAAGATTCCCTTAGGCAGGCTTCTTGGATTATTGGGGAAGAAGCTACTGAAATAGGTCTGCCGTAATTCATCCTGACCTCCTGAAATGGGCCCCGTTACGTAGAGAACTTGGTCGTCAGCCACATCCCTGCAAAAACACAAATGGATCGTCCAATCCATCACATGGATGTGGAATTCTAACTGGCAATTTTAATTCATTTTAGTTCCTAGATATCTTGGACCATTCTGATTCATTTTAGACCCTCATTTTTAGCATTCAAATATTTCATCCCTCCAGTTATGGTTAAAACTTGAAATTTGCCAACTGCGCCCAAATGGTGTTTTCTTAGAAAATAACAATAGTTGCATCACAGATATTATAATTTTCTTAGCGTCTAAGATGTTAACAAAATCGAGAGTAATACCAGTAAAAGTGATTCATATAGCGCAGAGAAACTGGAAATCACCCCGTTTTCTGTTCCCGTCCTCAATAATGAATCCGCCTTTTAAGACCCAAAAAACACCGCGATGATCCGTACGTAATTATTTGGAAGTCTATGAGTGGCTTGATCTTCAAACTGATACTCATAAAAGCTGTAAGATTTAAGCTGATGAACACCTACTACTACTAATTCATAGTTCATACTATACTAGAAAAATAACTACCTGCAGAGGACCTGGAGACAAAGGTCCACGCTGCATAACCTGATCGTATAGAGTCTTCAAAGACTTGAGATGAACATTTGCCAAAGCTTGATGAAGCAACAAACCAGAATAGTACTACTTTTTCCCACAATCCATTAGCGGCTGATGCCCCTAGGGATGGACAAATGGCCTCGTTGAAAGCTTTAATGATTCATCCCTTTCTTTTTTTTTTTCCTTTTTCTCCAGGCATCATGGATATCCACAAATATGGTGGTGATTTTTTGGATGAAATAGAAAACAATTTAGAGGGAGAAGGCTCATCCCATTTCGAGATGAAAACGTGTGATCAACAAATTAGACAGTGATAGATACATGATTAACTACTGAATTTGAATGTAATCGCTCGTAATACAAAGTCAAGATCTTATTAATCGAGCCACGACAAGTTGGGCACGATCACGCTGGTAAACCAGTTAGAATAGAATTACTTCCCCGGAACATAAACTTTTTTGAAAATTTAGCAGTGTAACCCTAGATCTGTAACCTGCATGTGAGTTTGCCTGTTACCAAACACTCAAATCCCTGGCTCAGTCGTCACGACATTGTGACCATGATACATGCGAAGACAACCCTGGATTAATTGATCATTAACTACTGCCCCATCTAAAAATAGATCTTTCTGGACAAGGGGTACAAACGGTTGCAGTGCAACCGTTTGTACCAATTGTGTGCATTTTGCACTGCGCGTAACATCGATAGCACACGGTGTAACTTTCTTTATACATAGCGTAATTTTAGAATACTTTTTTGTGGGATCCATACATGGTGTGAAAATCGAGTTATCACATGTGATCTGAGCCGCACAAATTTTTGGGCCAAAATCACAGCCGTGAACTCGCAGGAACGGGTCTGACAACCGTTCCTGCCCCATTTCCGATCTTTTTAGTACAAGTTGCCAATATGAAAGTACATGAAGACAGAGCTAACAAGAAGGCATGCCTGCATGCAATATTCTTATATTTTTATTCCTTCAAACGTACAATATGCTTGTGGCATCAATCATTCATCATCACACATTCCTGATGTGGGTCCCCATATGTCGAGCCCAGAGGGAAAATATACAATTGTAGTAATACAGAAGGGGAGATTAGAGTCAAATGAATGAAGCCTGTATAACATGCTATGGTACCATACAGAGTCATGTGTAAGAAAGATCAGCTCCTCCAGCGGAGACATGTCATGCTAATTCAATTGGTGAAATAAAGAAATACTAAGTTGAGCAAATCATGGGAACTCATCAAAACACTGCTCATGCAGGTCTATAGCCCCATTGCCTAAAATGTTGCTCATAAGGTGGACAAAAGCAAGGGGCTATATCGTTATACTACTCTCCTAAGCTTTTGAATAGATATAGACAAATTAAGTACTTCCAATGTTTGATCGATGACATAACAGATATTGAAAATTCTAGCTAGGTACTGCTGCTGCTCTTTTGTTGTATAGACAGGCATGATGGAGTGGGTTTGGATGATGGTGGTGGTGTTGGAACTTGGAAGGTAGCGGGAGATCAGAGATGGGAACGAATGATATGGAGAAACCACTCACTAGTCATGAAAAGAGGAGAAGAATATTGAGGTAAGGGGACAAGAAAGGGAAACAGAGAACTGGGATTAATGCAAAATTTGCTGCCTAGTATAATATTAGGGCGACCATGTGAAAAGCATGATGGCCTAGGATGACGTCGCTATAGTTTTCTTTTTCATCATCTTCTTCTTATTCTTTCTAGTTTATTTGGAAGAGGATGGCCGCCATGACCTCCTCATCAGTCATCTCCTTGGAAACGAACCAATGAGGGTGGAGTGGGGACTGGGGACTATGAGCCTAGATCTATTCCCAAGGCTCTCTCCATTATGCATTGTTGTATATGTAGGATTTGTAACAGCTAGCTGCTGCTGCTGCTGCTGCTAGGCCTGGCAAACTAAAGTGAATGAGCACTATAACTTATCTGTCAAATGCTAGTCCTACTAATGACAAAAATCAGAATTTATTGTACTTCGGGATCTTCCGCGAAGTTCTTGTAATCAGAGTTCCATGTGTTCTGCTAATTTTGATAAGCAACTTCTGGAAGGTTTCCTGCTGATGAGCAACAGGCTCGTGCATGAATTCATTAGAGTTATAGTACATACATTTTCAGTGGTGCCAGGATCCTAAGATCAGGGTAAATCCCTGACACCACATAAATAGTAGTATCAGTAGAGTTCAAAGGACACAAAAGTTAAGCATGCATCTTTTTTTTCTATGTTATTATACTCTAAGTCTTGATTGTGCAATAATGTGGCAGTAAAGAGCTTAAAAACGTTAAAAGATTTTATTCTTGTACTAACATCCATATTAAACCTTAAATCAAGACCCTTCTTAGGCGTAACAATTATGGGTCTCTTCATTGTTTAGCAGGTGGAGAATGTAAATAGAAAAAAGAATTTCAATTTTTTTTGGGGGGGGGGGGGGGGGGACAGAGAGTAACTTGCAAAGTTTTCAAACTTTCTTGGCTTACAAAATGATTTTTTTCAAAATGATTTTTTTTTTTTCTGTTGGGGTTGGGGGTGGGGGAACTACACTTAGCTCTGCCCCTGTTCTTCAATACTAGATGATTATTAACTTGGTTAGAAGAGTGGAAGTTTCAATAAATGGTGCGTATGGACTGAAGTGGTTAGGGTAGAAAGAGGATAGATTTCAAGAACTTTAAATTTATGGATAATCTCAAACCGAACCTTCTACAAGTAATTTCACGTCCTTGATAAGCGAATGATGAGTGAAAGGATTGCAGCTAGCCTCAAGTTAGGAATTGCTGAGGACCCGTAATTTCAAATTCTCAATGCTACTCATGCTGAAGCTATGTTTCAAATTAGTTATTCCTTTGAAAATCTTCAGAACACGAATAGGATCCGGAATGCAGGATAAAAGTGTCCTCATTAGAGTCTTTCACAGATTATATATAAATCTGTTGATAAGTAGGATAGGAATTCGAAATCGAAGGAGCAAATGAGAAATAATTAGTGAAACTTGTAAAATAGCTAAATAGTAAATATTAATATTGTTGAATGCAGAATCAGGAAAATATGAACGGCTTCTGAAGTCAGTGATACCACATTTTTAAAGAGGTCTTTTGTTAGTTATTATCTCATTTAATTAGATTATCCCAGACACTTGGATCTACATGTATGAGAAAGGAAACTAAGTATGTGCTTATCCTACGGGGAGGGGAATGTTTTACCAGGAGAGCTCTTAAGATGGTTTCATATGTATCAAAATGCAGGAGTTCCTTATATTAAGATCGTTTCATATGGGGAAGGTTCCTTATACTTTGACGTATGTGGCTTGGTTTTACTTTTAGGGGAAGTCCTCGTCGAGTGGGCAAACAGGTCCTCTACGTTGCCGAAAAGGCGGCTTGCATGTCTGCTGCAAGAAC